GCACACACCTATAATCCCAGCATTTGGGAGGCTGAGGCAGGAGGATTGCTGTGAGTTTGAGGGCTACAAAGTGAGTTCAAGGCCAACCTGAACTGCATAGTAAGATCTGGTCTCAAAAAATATAAATAAATGATAGACAATAGGAAGTAGGGAGATAACTCTTTTGCAAAATGGAGGGGAACCAAGAGATGGAGAGGAGAAGGAAAGTGATGAAAGAAAGAATTAAGATGTGTTACATACATGCAACAACTCCTCTCAAGGAATGTAATATTATATATTGCAAAGATGTACTAATAAAGTAATAAAAACTGAAACAAAAGATGGCTTCATTTCCACAACTGTAGTATATTGCAAGAAATCATTCCAGCCCAACTAAATCAGATCTCTGGAGTTGGGCATCCTACACTTGTTCCTTACAATTGTTCCACTGGAAATCTGGATCTACAACTGAGGCTGAAAAACCTAACTACACACTATTTACCTGTCCTGTTATCAAAGATAACCTTGGGCTTTATAACTTTGTTGTTAACCAGTTTTTTTTTTTTTTTTTTTTGGAGGCAAGGTCTTTCTACCTAGTCTAGGCTGGCCTTAAATATCACATAGCCCAGGCTGGACTTGAACCTTTGGCAATCCTGCTTCAAGTTCCCTAGTTCTGGGATTACAGGCATATAGCCCTACACCAGGCTATTAAACATTTTTTTCAAAAAACAACTGATCAGGTGCCTTATCTTGTGACAGGTATGCCTGAGCCATTTATTTTATAGCCATATGTAGAAAAATCTCAAAAGACTAAGGATTACATTGATTTTTTAGCATTCCATTTTTTACTTGGTAGCCAGACAGGCCAAGGAGGAGGGAGAAGGGACTCACGGACTCAGATGTGGGATGGTATCTCACAGCTGTTGTCTTGGAAACTTTGCTGCTGTTCATTTTCAAGGGTCGTCTGCTCAAAAAGGAGTCCCTGGGGTAAGATCACAGCTCTCACAACTCTGATGACTTCCTAGGAACAGGTTCAAGTGGAGAACTGAGGTTGGTTATCTGAGATGCCGATTCAGAGCTTGTTGAAAATAATAATTTTAAAATGACATTTAGGAAGATGGATTTCAGGAGCCTACCTACAGATAGGGAGCTGCTAGCCAATAGGTATGTTCAACCAAAGAGTGGCTACTTGTGATTGTACACACACACACACACACACACACACTCACACACACTCACACACAACACATGGAAATATGCACGCTCATCAGCATGCTTTCTGCCCAGATGTGCACAATGTCTCTGTTTGGCTGTAGCATCAAGTCTATATGGAGATAGGAAATGTAGGCAGGATGCAAGCATGGGAAGAGGACAAGAGATCCCTAACTGCTGGAAAGGATTGACTGCCTACCTTTTCCTCCAAGATAAAATTTCAAATGTTCATCATCACATTTTAAAATCACATTTACTGAGGCACACTTGACATATAATGAATTTCATGCAACAAAAGATACATATACACACAATTTATAATCGCTAAATCTTGACAATAGCCTATATGCCCATCAACACATGAATGGATAAAAGAAATGTAGTGTTTATACAGAATGGAGCACTACTCTGCCATAAAGGATAAACCTGAGGCATTTGTAAATGATATACCTTGAAACCATAATATTAAGTGAAATAAGATACAGAAGCTTAAATATTGCATAGTTTCTCTTATATGAGAAGCCCAAAATATAAAGAGCAAAGTAAAATGGATAACAGGACAGTGCTTGCCCTGGTAAGCATGAGGATGATATAAATGGAAGTAGGGAGATCTTTTCCAAATAGGAAGGGGAACAAGAGCTGGAGGGAGGGGAAGGGGAGGAAGGAAGAAAAGAACTGAAAGAGAAAAATGGAGCTTTTAAAAATGGGAAAGAGACCAAGAGTTGGAGGTACAATGAGGGATGGGAGGGGTAGAAGATAACAAAAGAATGAAGATATATTAGGTACATGTACCAACTTCCCATATAAATGTAACCTTTATCTACTGCAAACATAATAATTTTGTGTGCTACTAAAAAGGTATATATGCAGTGACTCTCAGCAAATATACATAATTATGTACTCTGATCTTGTTTTAGAACTCCTCTATCACTTTAGACAGACTTCTTTTCCCATATAACAGTTAATCTCTACCCCTGTCCCATCTGTGTAGAACTTCCCTATTTGGGCATTTCTTATAAATCCACTTATGAGCGTCAGGAGGAGAGCTCATCATGCTGTGAGGATAGCTCAGTGGACTAAGTGCTGCTTAGGCAAGTGCAGGAACCAGGATTTGATTCAGGGCACCACATATTGCGCTGGCCCCACCCCCAGGTGCGCTGAGCCAGTGGCCCAGTCTGGGCATGGTGGTGCATGCCTGTAATCCCAGCGCTGGGGAGGCTGAAAACAGGAGGATCACTACAAGTCCAAGCTGTGTAGTGAGACCCTGTACCAAAATACATTTAAAAAGTAATAATAAATACACTTGTGTAATAAGTGGTCCTTTTTGTGTAGCTTTTATCACTTAGAAAAATTTTGTGAGGTTCAAACATGCTGTAGCATGTATGAATACTTTGTTCCTCCACAATGTTCAGTAATATTCTACTATATAGATACACAATGTTTTCTTTATCCCTTCACCAGTGTGTAGACATTTCACAGTTCTTACTTTGGTGCCTTCATGAATGATGTGCCTACAAAATATTATCTTAGTCTGTTTCCTGTTACATAAAATAAAATGCCCTATCATGGCAGGATATATAGGAAACAGTTTATTTTGGCTCATGGTTATGACCAGAGGGCTACCTGTCTTGTGGACAGAGTTTTCATGTGGATCAAGGTTTTACATAGCAGGAAGACAAGGAGCACAGCATGATGAGACCTGACCAAATCAGTTTTCATAGGAGAGCAACTCTCCATATTAACTCACTGACTTGTTAATCAATTCATCTATTAATGGAATGAATGGACTAAACCATTAAGGAAAGCAGAGCACTAACCATCTCCTGAAGATCCCTCCTGCTTCTACATCTTATGTTCTCAAAAGAGGATTACATTTCCACATGAATTTTGGAGAGGAAAACCCTTAGTCTGTGAATGGACATATATTTTTCTATCTAAATTCTCCCATGTTTCCAGGTACTTTTGTGCACAGTGGGATAAGACATACAGCCTTGTTTCTGCTCTCACAAGAGAAACAAAGTTTCTGGTTTTACTATATAATAATATTATGTCAGGGGCCGGGGAGATGGCTCAGTGGAATAAGCACTTCCCTGGCAAGTGCAAGGGCCTGAGTTCAATCCCCGGTTCCGCCAGAAAAAAAAAATTATGTCAGCTGTAGGCTGAATGCTATAGATGCTCTTTATAGGTTAAAGACACTCCCTTCATCTTCATTTGCCCAGAATATTTATCAGGAATGGGACTTAGATTCTGTCAAATTCATTCATTCCCCCATTGCCCTGTGACCTTCCACCATGTGAGGACTTAGTAAGAAAGTCCTCAGTGGGCACCACTTCACAGCATCTTCTGCTTGCCTCTCTTTGTCTCAAGGACTATAGACATAAGCTTATTTTACTTACTGTGTGCTATACTCATTGTGTGCTATTTTGACACACATCATAGGAGGAAATAGTCTAAGACAGCGTCCATTTTTTCCCCACTTAAAAGCTCAATATCAGAGGGGAAAGGCAAGCATTGCAATTGCTCATTTCTCCTTCACAGCAGTTAGCAAATCAGAGAATAGGGAGAGGCCAAGTGGACAAAGTAAAGCCTTGGTGATTGGGTCAGCACTTGACTGCTATTGGTACAATGGAACATTTGTGGCTGACCTAGAACATGTACAGGGAATGGTTTCATGTGTGGAGAGTCAGGCAAAGGCTTGTGTCTCTAGCTGATACTTTGTCTGTGAACTTCCTGCAATGTGGGAATAATTACCCCTGTCCCATTTCATAGTGGTTAAGGATTCAACACTGCTTCACAGCAAGACTTGGCCATTTAAGGTATGAAATATCCACTGAGGTCACTGGGTCCCTGAACCCAGCTCTTATAGAAAGTAAACAGGGATGCCAGCTAGAATACAGCCTGCCTAAGCTCATATGGTAGTGCAGAGTTTTGCTGCCTGTGTGACCTTGCTACATTCCCTGAAATGGAACCAGCACTGTTGCTAAATGATGGGTCTGTGGGAAAAGATAAAATGGGTGAACCTTCAGTAGTACATAGAGGAGACTAACACTGAGTAAGTGTCACCAAAGTGCACTAATACACTACCCTTCACACTTTTAAATCACTGTTCTGATTTTAGGCCTCTGAGTATGAAGAAAGGAAAGCTGCCCTTTATACACCTGGTTCCCAGGACCTGAGCGGCAACCCTGACAGATATCTTAACTCTCAAGCTCTGATGAGATCCCAAGTTCTGATCTGAGGAACTCACCTGTTCTCAGGTCACTTCTACCAACAGGAGACACAGATTTTTATGGCAGTGCAGTCCTGGGGCTTCCCTAAAGAGAGCGACACAATGCAGAATTTGTTTTTGGACTTGGAAGAAGCTCAGGTCCCTGGTTGGGTGGGTCTTGCAGGATTCTGTAAATGAAAGAAGGTAAATTCAATCATTCAGGCTTCTTGAAATTAAGACATGTCTAAACTCCAGTAGGACTTTCAAATAAGCTAATGCTTCACTGCTTCTCAGGAAGCAGGCACAAAACTGCTGTTCACCGACCAAGTGGACCAGGCGACAAGGAAAGGCTCTTGGAAACCTTGTCCAGGGAACCAGTGCCAACACTCAGGGGCTCCTTCTGGGAGCAGTGGCCTCTGCTCCCACCCTTATGCATCAGAGGACTTTCTCCCAGCCTCGCTGCTTGGCCGGTATAAGTGCTGGTCTCACTGTGGCACCTCAAATAGCAGCTGCACTGCCCTGGGCCTGCCCCATCCCTCTTCCAAATCTCCAGGCGCACAGCTCCTCTTGACATGCTCTGGTCTGCTGCTTGGGGATTTCAGGGTAGTGACCTGAGTGAGAGTCAAAGAGAAACAAACCACTACTGATAAACAAACCTGCGTTCTAACGTTACTTTGCTTTCACAGATATGTTTATTTGGTATTAGCGATGAGGTACCAAGGCAAAGTCTTGCACGGGAGCATACTACTTGATTGCTAAGGAGCAGGACAGCACAGTCAGTGTATTACAGTCATGATAGTTTACACGTACAGCACAATGCTGAAGCATCAGGTTCTAATTCCACATCTCTTTCCCACACCTTTGTGGCAGCAGATGTCTGCACCTGGATCTCAGAGTCAAGCACTGCCATTTCGAGCGCACCTGCTGCTCCTGGTAGCAGTCAGCAACATGATACAAAAGCACGCATCAACAAGGCATTCACACTACACAGACATCTTTTGCCTTCCTGACAACAACGAGCAGAGGTGGAGATCTAGGCTGGGAAATCGACAACATGCAGCATGGGCGCCAGATGAGGGGAGGCGGGGAACACTGGTGTGCAGTCTCCACACTGAATGCCTCTCAGTGTTCTACGGAGGACGGGCAGGAAAGACGAGGACACAGGTCTCAGGACTCCTCTTCCAACAGTGACTTCTGGTCTCCATCAACAGCTCAGCTCCCTAAAGCTGCCAACACGGAACTCTCTGAATCCCTACAGGTCTCTGTCCTATGAGGATGAGCATCTCAGTTCTCTTCCAACCACTGCATGAACAGCCTCTGGAACATGCTCTTGCTTTCCTGTTGCCTCTCCAGTTGGCCCTTTTCCTCTGGTGGCTGTTGCTGCATCCTGCCTGGCTGGAGGCCAGGCCGATTGCTGCCCAGGCTAAGGGTCAAGCCACTGAGACCTTGCACAAGGGTTTCCCAGGAGGAGGGGTTGAGGGTTCCACTCCTCTCCCCAGTGACACGAGAAATATTTGGCATGGGGGCCTGACAGTATTGACACTGGCATCTGAATTGATTCTGAGATCTAGTGCCTGGGAAAGAGACCCTGGTTTCCCTTTCGACTGGGTAAGGTACCATGTGATCACGGTGCCTGCGTCTCAAGTGCCCCAGGAAGGCTTTCTTCCTCTGAGGGAACCCCAACCTTTCCCAGTGCTGCTCCGGCAGAGTCTTCTCTTCCCTGTACTGCTGCTCGAACAGTCCCTCTCGCAGAGGCACAGGGGGGTTGGAGCCAGGAGTGATGCTCAGGTCACTGAGGCCCATCACTAACTGTCCTGTGGAGGAAGGCCAACAGACTGCTGTCCCCTCCTGGGAGCTCTCTGCAGCAGCCATCTGGGAAGATCCCGCACTCAGCCCTGGGTTCCATTTCTGGAGTGGATCCATGGAGGTCTTGTCTGAACCAGAAGCTCTGCCAGGCCCTGCAGTCTAGATGGGAAGGTGAAGCTGGAGGTGTTCAAATAACTAGACTGCAGTAGGAAAGTGTAGAGCCAGAAGATGTCAGACTGCAACCAAAGAAAAACAGAAGAAAGAAAACCCATGACTATTCATTTTACTTCAACTTCTATACCTCCCCTTCTTAGGTGTAAAATGCAGTTGCTCATGTGATCTACTTTTTAGGCTACTTCCAGAGAGCTGATAATACATCATAAAGGTTATAGAAATAGGGCCTATCACTGCAACTGTGAGGGATATACAATGTTGAAATGTCATGAAAATTTTTAAATTATGAGACAGGGATCTATCAATTTTGGGCCCAACCTAGGACTAAAGCATAGATCCTCCTGCAGCAGACTCCTGAGTGCTGAGATTACATGTATATACCACCATTTCCTGACTTTCCTGAGTTTTTCTGAGTCACTCTCAAGACTAATTGTAAGGATGAGCAATGTATGACTAACACATACATTTCTGATGAGTATTTACACACTTTCATAAAGTAGATTTTTCTTAAGTTGGAAGTATTTGTACCACAGTTACACATTCTTTTCATTTTTGTCTTTGAGATACTTGGCTTTACATTTAGTCCAAAAGCTGCTCTCGTATATGAAAATCATCTCAAAATTCTCAACACATATAAATAAGAATTTTCCTATTAAAAGATATGAGACAAAATGTAGAGACAGCAAACAAAAACAAGAAGAATGAAAAATTAAATGAAACCAAACACTGCTTCTTGAAAATGATGAATTTAATTGATAAACTTGTATCAGGAAAAAAGGGAAGAAGGAAATAAGTTACCAATAGGAGTGAAAGAAGAGATTTCATTACAAACTCAGAAAACAAGGAAACAATATAGTCATACTGAAATAGGGTCCATATAAATTATATAGTTTACATGGACCAATTACTGGGAAATCATAAACTACCAAAATGAACAGAAATGAAATTCTGTGCATGGGCCTTAATTTACACAAATTAAATTTGTAGTTAAAAAAATTTTTTTTGTAGTTAAAAATGTTTGCAAATTCTCTAGGCCCTAAAAAAAATAAAAATTCTCTAGGCCCAGAGAATTTTACTGGCGAATTCTAAAAAACATAAAATAAAGCAATTATACCAATTTGAAATAATTTTTTCAAGAAAATGCGGCAGAAAGAACATTCCTATATATATTATAAAGCTAGCACTGCACTGATACCTGGAAACTACACACTAATATTCTGTCTTAGCAAATGCACAAAATTCTTCAACAGAAAATGAGCAATATATGAAAACAATCATAAGCCACGATCAAGTGGATTTTATGCTAGGAATGCAAAGGTTCTTCTTTTACTAATTAAAACTTCATCAGTGAAATCCACAGATTGTGAGTTCAAGTGAAGAAGAAAAGTGACAGAATCATATCAGTGTATGAGAAAAACTATTTGTCAAGATGAAAAATCCACTGAGTTGATCTAAAGAATGAATGAGATGTCAACCAAAATCATGGAAGGAAATATATATATATATATATATATATATATATATATATATATACACACATATATACATGCAGGCTGAATCTACAATTCACATGGAACTTTCAAACTTCTAAAACAAGAATGAATTGGAAAATTCACATCATTCAGTTTTAAAACTTGCCATAAAGAAATCAAGGATGCTACTGGAATCAATAGTCAAAATGGCCACACTACTGGCCAATCAGTACAAAACTGTTGTACTGATTCAATGTAGTCTCAATCAAAATACCAACAGAAAACTTCACAGAACTAGAGAAAACCATCCTAAAATTCATATGGAACCAGAAGAAACTCAGAATAGCAAAAGCAATCTTGGACAACAAGAGAAAAGCAGGAGGTAACACATTACCTAACCTCAAGCTATGCTACATACCATATATAATACAACAGCATGGTACTGGAATAAAAACAGACAGGTGAATCAACTGAGCACAGTAGATGATACAGTAACATCCCCAGACACATTTAGCTATTTGTTTTTTGACAAAGTGACAAAAAACAAACATTGGAGAAAAGATACCTGTTCAGCAAATGAGGCAGGGAACACTAGGTATCCGTTTGCAGAAGATTGAAACTAGATTCATATCTCTTACCATGTAACCAATATCTAAAATCAAAGTAGATCAAAGATCTGAACATTAAAAGATAAACACTAAACCTACTGAAAAAAATAGGTAAAACACTTTAATCCATAGGTATAGGAATAGATTTCATAAGCAGAACCACAATTAGATAACAAATTAACAGCAAAAATCAACAAATCGAATTATATCAAATTAAAAGCTTCTGTACAGGACTGGGATGATAGCTTGGCAGTCTAAGCGCCTCCCTGGCAAGCACAAGGTCCTGGGTTCAATCTCTGGTACCGTATATTGTGCCAGCCCTGAAACCAAGCATGATAATGCATGCCTGTAATCCCAGCACTGGGAAGGCTGAGACAGGAGGACTACTACAAGTCTGAACTGTGTAGCAATACCCTGTACTAAAAGTAAAAATAAACAATTTTTTTTAAAAAGCTTCTGTACAGCAAAGGAATCAATTAGTAGAGTGAAGAGACAATCAACAGAATGGGGAAAAGTTTTGCCAACTATTCCTCAGACAGAAGTCTAATGTAAACAACTAATGTAAAGAATGTAAAGAACTAATGTAAAGTCTAATGTAAAGAACTCAAAAAAATTAGACAACCTAAGGTAAAAGACCCAGTGAAGAAATGGACACGTAAAACAAACACACTTTTCAGAGGAAAAAATGCAAATGGCCAACAAACTTATGAAAAAATGTTCAACATTCTTGACCACTCAAGAAATATAAATTAAAAAACACTAAGATTTCCATCTGACACCAGAAAGAACGACAATCATCAGGAAATAAAAAAAATAACAAATTCTGGCATGGCTATAATGAAAAAGGCATGCTCATATCTTGTTGATGGGAATGTAAACTAATACAACCATTATGGAAATTCCTCAAAGAACTAAAATTAAGGGCCGAGGAGATAGCTCAGCAGCAGCATAAGTGCTTGCCTGGCAAGCCCAAGGTCCTGAGTTTGATCCCTGGTATAAAAAAAAATAAAAATAATAAATTAAAAAATAAAACAAAAACCTAAAACTAGAAATTTTACATAATTCAGCTATCTTTTTTTAGGTTTCTTTCCCAAAGAGCTAAAGACATACTATAGTGACACATACATACCAATGTTTATAGCAGCATGGGTCAAAATAGCTAAATCCTGGAAGCAACCTGAATATTAATCAACAGACAACTAAATAAAGAAAATATGGTATCCAAACATAACTGATCATGACTCAACTATAAAGAAAGACACTCCTGGCTTGCCATGCCAGCCCTGCTCTCAGGGCACGCTGAGATGGCAAATTGAGACTGGGTGTGGTGGCGCTCACCTGTAATCCCAGCTCTTGAGAGGCTGAACATAGGTGGATCACTACAAGTCCGATCTGTGTAGTGAGACCCTGTACTAAAATACAAAAAACAAAAATAGAAGGATACATTTGAGACATTTGTAGGAAAATGGATGTAGCTGCAAAATGTATTATTGAATGGAATAAATCATACACATGGCCGGTAGTTCCAGCACATGCCAATAACCCCAGCATTTGGGAGGCTAGGGCAGGAGGACTGCTAAAAGTTCAAGGCTAGCCTGCACGACAAAGGGAAACCCTGTCTCAAAAATACAAAAACCATAAAACCATACACACAAGCTTGAATACTATATAGTATTTCTCATTTAAGTTAGGCAAAATATAAATAAAGAACACAATAAAGGATAGATAAAAGGAGACAAGGGAATAGATCTCTTGCAAATGGAAGGAGGCCAAGACAGCATGGGTGAGAGGAAAGGGGAAATAAGTAGACTAAAGATACGCCATATACAGGAACCTAATAACCTCGGTGAATGTAAACATTACATGTAATAAACACAAGATGAGATGAGATTAAAAATATCATCAAGAACCAAAATGAGGGGGGCCAGGGAGATGGCTCAGTAGGATAAGCGCTTGACTGGCAAATGCAAGGATCTGAGTTCAATCCCTGGTCCTACAAAAAAAAAAAAAGAACCAAAATGAGGAAAGGGATTTAAAGGAGGAAGGATGGAGATTGGAGAGAACAAGGGGATTTTAAAAAGAAATCTAGCTATTTTCTGTTTATGTACTTATTCCACAAGATGATTGTAAATGGCCATGTACTGGAAACATGTACTAATAAAAAGAGAAAATTAGAAAAAAAAAGTGTGTTGGCAAAGAGACTGATGGTAGAAAAGCATCCATAAATAGTCCAAACAAATATGATTAAATGAGTTTTCCAAAATTTTTTGAAACAGGGTCTCGCTATGTAGTTTAGGCTAGCCTCGAACTCACTATGTAGCCCAGGCTGGCCTCAAACTCACAGTCAACTTCCTGCCTAAGTCTCCTGAGTAGTGGGATTATGGGTATGCATCACCATGCCTGGCTAGTCAAATGAATTTTGACAGGGATATAAATGGGAATTTAAGGGAAGGGAGAATTTTCCAATAAATGTTGTATATTCACATGTGAAAATATGAACCTTCACACCATGATTTATACATGAAATTAACTAAAAATGTATCAGAGAACTGAATGTCAAAACTACAAAGAAAAGTTTCAGAAGATACTATAGGAGAACATGTTTGGGACTAGACAATAAGTATGAGCAAGTTTTCAACACAAATCACAGTGTGTGAAAGAGACTTAAAATCTAGCGGCTGCTTATGTAGCTGAGAGGTAGAACACTTGCTTAGCATGCTTGAAGCTGGGTATCTGATTTCCCAATTCAAAGAGGGGAGAGGAGAAAAGAGGGAGAAAGAGAGGAGGGGAGGAGTGAACAGAGGAGGGAAGGGGGAAAGGAGTGGGGGAAAGGTGGGAAGGGGAAAGGAGAGAACAGGGAGGGGGAAGGGAAAGAAGAGGAGGTGGGGAGAAGGGAGAGGGAGGGGAGAAGAGGGGGGGAAGGGGGAGGGGAGAGCAAAACAGAGAAAAAAATATTAGCTCAGAAATAGATAATAAGGGCCAGTGAGATAGCTCAGCAGACTAAGTGCCTTCTTATGCAAGCTCAAGAACCGGGGTTCAATCCCCAGCACCACATGCCATGCTGACCCCATCCCCAGGTGCGGTGAGCCAGCCACACCAGGTATGGTGGCACACAACTATAATCCCAGTGCTGGGGAGGCTGAAAACAAGAAAATCACTAGGAGTCCGAGCTGCATAGTGAGATCCTGTACCAAATACATAAATTAAAAAAAAGAAATACACAATAAATAGTTAAGTTATAAAGACCAAACCCAGAATATAGTATACTAAAAAAGGTAATAGTAAGAAAACAAACAATGTAAATAGAAAATGTGGAAAAGACTGAGTATGAGCCCTGAAAACAAGGCTCAACATTATTAACCATAAGACATAGGAAAATTAAAACTGTGATGACAAACCTTGTCATATATAGAATGGGTAAAACAAAACTTATTAACAATACAAAGCACTGGAGAACCTACCAAAGACCTGGAACTCTCATGTCTGCTGGTGAGAAAAAAAAGGAGTGTTGGCTTCTTATAAAACATATACTTTAAGGACCAGAATCTCACTCTTCAGTATCTACTCTAGACAAACAAAAACTTGAGCTCATACGTACAAAGCCAGTGTATGGATGTTTGCAGCTGCTCTATTCAGTTACTCAGAATGGTACACAATATTAATGCCCTTCAATAAATGAGTGGAAAAGAGATTGTGCTACACATATAAGAGAAAATGACTTAGCATCAAAAAATAATACAGTATTGGGGCTGGTGAGATGGCTCAGTGGTCTAAAGCACCTACTTAGAACAAGCTTAGCAAAGCACAGGGACCACGGTTCAATCCCCCAGCCCCACATGCCAGCCAGCCCCGCCCCCTGGTGGGCTAAGCTGGCCACACACACACACACACACACACACACACACACACACAAAATAATAATACAGTATTGATCTGGGATCCATCCAGGTGTTACATTATGCTAATTAAAGGAAACACATTCAGAAGTCTACAAGCTATCTCATTTCATTTATATGACAATTCACAAAACACAAAACAATAAAACAAAAGGAAGAAGATCACTATTTAACAGGTATTTGTGGTGAGGAGATGTAGGTGCAAAGGAGTAGCAGCAGAAAATGTTTTGTCATGATGGACAAGTTCCTTATCCAGATTTTGGTGGTGGCACTAAGAATCTACACGTTTTAAAACTCATAGAAATAGAAGAATGTATGCAATGTGTTAATTATTGAAACTGTTCTACCAATTTGATTTGAAACTGTCCCATTGCTATTTGTTTATCAATAAAATTATGGGAAAAAATAAAACTCATAGAACTGAAAAATAAACGAACAAAAAACCCTCATAGAACTACACTCTAAAAGAAGAAAGTTCAGACATACCTTTGGCAGGTGGAGCAACTAGAACCCACAGGACCCAGGACAGGCTGGCCTGGCTGTATGGGATAATAGGTAAAACAAGCAACATGAAAGCATCTGAAGCAGCAGTGAGGAGCCAGCAGCTGGGCTCTGGAGAATTCCACCAACAGGAAATCAGTTCCATCCCCCACATCCGGAGGCCAAGATCAGCTGGATGCCAAGCACAATTCCCATGACAAACTTGGCTGGAGTACACAGCACATTTCGAGGATCTCAGATGGACACTCTTACATAATTGTGAACACCAGAGGTATTTTACTACATTGTTCTCCCTTGTTTGTTTGATTGGCTATGCCTTTCCTGTCTGGTGAGAAGTTGCCCTGTTTTGTATTTTTTTTTAAATTTTTTTTCCCGTTTTGTATTTTGTGGTTATTTTTGTTTTGGATTTTTCCCCCTTTTCTCCCTTCTCTTTTTCGGGTCTACTTTTTTTCTTTTCTGTTCTTCTCTTTCTTCCTTCTTTATTTCATTGTTTAGGATTCTTACTTATCTTTTATGATTCCTTCTATTGATCCTTTCTTTCCCCAACTACTTTTTGAATTTAAATTTTCAAGTGAGTAAACACTGTCTCTTCCCTTGCTGATAATTCCTTCATATTTTATTTCAGGGCCGGGGAGATGGCTCAGAAGAATAAGTGCTTGCCTGGCAAGCGCAAGGGCCTGAGTTCAATCTCCAGTTCTGCCACAAAAAAAGAGTATCATATTTTATTTCATTCTTTCCCTCCTGTGTCCTCCAGTTTTCAAAAACTCAGGTGGTCATACTTTGAGCTCCAGGCTTGACTCTACGGTATCTGACCCCACTCATTACTTTATACCATCTCCCACCCATCTTAAAATCTGCATGCCTTCCACAAAAGGGTAAAATAACTGCACTAAGGGGAAAATCACTGAATCCAAGTTTGTGGTATATGTTTGATTTTATTATATAACTTTAGAGTTTGCTCCTGTGTGTGGAGGTACTAGGTTAATGGTTACCATAGTTTGTCAGTAGTTAAGCTGAACTTGAAACTATTTGCTGTAACTGAACTATTTTAGTCAGGATGTCATACATGTTATAATCAGTTTTTCTCCCCTGTATGATAACACTATGATTGCATGGGGTCATAATCAGCACTACAACCCCGTACCAAAGGATTGGGTCCTGAGACAAATATTAACATTGCATTCTTTACAAATTAGGAAGGTAGGTTCTTGGGATAGCTATAAAGAATCACCTACAGGTAGAGGACATCCCTGAAGAACAGATATCTCCTAGGGAAGCCTCAATACTAGTGATAAAGCTATCATAAGAAATTGGTAAGAATCAACATAGAAACAAAGTAAAATAAAAAGGAGAAAATAGAAAACAAGAAGATGCAGAAGCAAAATGCAACCCCAATCCCTCAGTCTACCTAGGACAAGCCTAGAACACAATAAGGTAGACAAAATTGGAAATCAAACACTGGAGCATTCTAAAATGATAGCAACAGAAGTGAAAAAGAAAATGGAAAAGGTTATAGAGAAAATAATCTCTCAGGTACAAGAAGAAATGCTTAAAACCAAAGACATTAGAGAAGACACAGCAAAAGAATAGATAAGCTTAGAATGGTGGACACAAAAAGTGCCCAACACAAGAAATGAATGGAATTCACGAAAGAGAGCCAAATAAAAATCCAAGACATTAAAAAAAATCCCTGAGCCCAGGGAGATAGCTCAGCAGCATAAATGCCTGCCTGGCAAGGTCCCGAGTTTAATCCCTGATACTGCAAAAACAAAACAGAACAAAAACTCCACTGAAAATATACACAACAGACTAAATGAAGAAGAGGAGAGCATTTCTGATCTTCGCCCTGGGGGCAGGGCTGGCAAGGCATGTGGGGATAGAACCACGGTCCCTGCTCTTTGCCTAAGCTTGCCTAAGCAGGCACTTTAGACCACTGAGCTATCTCGCCAGTTAAGAATTTCAGATCTAGAAGACAGCTAGTGATCAAGAAAAGAAAGATGTCTTAAAAATACCAAGACACCATGAAAAATCTATCTAACCACTACATGATGATGTAAAGATGAATAGCACAGGATTGATTGTGGTTAGTAAGAAAGCTAGAGACAGCACAAATGCCATAAAAAAAACTCTTCACAGAAATAATGGCAGAAAATGTTCCAAATGTGGATAAAGAGTTTGACAGGCGGCAGCGCGGTGTACCCTGGGATAGGGAGCGATCTCCGAGCGAGGCAACAAGATGGACGCGGGATTCTTCCACGGAACAAGTGCAGAACAGGATAATCAGTTCAGCAACAAACAGAAGAAACTACTGAAGCAGCTGAAATTTGCAGAATGCCTAGAAAAAAAGGTGGACATGAGCAAAGTAAATTTGGAGGTTATAAAGCCTTGGATAACAAAACGAGTAACAGAAATCCTTGGATTTGAAGATGATGTTGTGATTGAGTTTATATTCAACCAGCTGGAAGTGAAGAATCCAGATTCCAAAATGATGCAAATCAACCTGACTGGGTTTTTGAATGGGAAAAATGCTAGAGAATTTATGGGAGAACTTTGGCCCCTGCTGTTAAGTGCACAAGAAAACATCGCTGGAATCCCTTCTGCTTTCCTAGAACTAAAGAAAGAAGAAATAAAGCAGAGACAGATTGAACAAGAAAAATTGGCATCAATGAAAAAACAAGATGAAGACAAAGATAAGAGAGATAAGAAAAAGAAAGCATCAGAGAAAAAAGGAGAGGTCTCGAAGCCCAAGAAGACGCAAATCCAGATCTCCTTCCCCTAGAAGACGATCTTCCCCTGTCAGGAGAGAGAGAAAGCGCAGTCATTCTCGATCTCCCTGACATAGAACCAAGAGCCGGAGTCCTTCTCCTGCTCCAGAAAAGAAGGAAAAAACTCCAGAGCTACCTGAACCTTCAGTGAAAGTAAAAGAACCTTCAGTACAAGAGGCCACATCTACTAGTGACATCCTGAAAGTTCCCAAGCCTGAGCCCATGCCAGAACCTAAAGAATCTACTCCAGAAAAAATTCCAAAAAAGAAAAAGACAAGACACGGCCAAGATCTCGGTCACGTTCCAAGTCAAGGTCACGGACCCGTTCTCGGTCTCCTTCTTATACTCGACCAAGAAGGCGCCATAGGTCCCGATCAAGATCACACTCACCCAGAAGGTGGCCAAGCCCAAGAAGGAGACCATCTCCTCGAAGAAGAAGCCCACCACGACGAATGCCGCCACCTCCAAGGCACAGAAGGAGTAGATCTCCCGTAAGACGAAGGAGGCGGTCATCAGCATCGCTGTCTGGGAGCAGTTCATCATCCTCCTAATCTCGTTCCCAGTCACCACCAAAGAAACCTCCCAAGAGGACGTCCAGCCCCCCTCGAAAAACTCGTAGGTTATCTCCTTCAGCAAGTCCTCCAAGGCGAAGGCACAGGCCATCCCCACCAGCTACTCCACCACCAAAAACACATCATTCCCCAACGCCCCAGCAGTCAAACCGTACAAGAAAAAGTCATGTTTCTGTGTCTCCGGGGAGACCTTCAGGTAAAGTAACAAAACATAAAGGTACTGAGAAAAGAGAATCACCATCACCAGCACCAAAGCCTAGAAAAGTAGAGTTATCTGAATCTGAAGAAGATAAAGGTGGCAAGATGGCTGCAGCTGATTCTGTGCAGCAGCGACGCCAGTACAGACGACAGAACCAGCAGTCTTCATCTGACTCTGGCTCATCCTCTTCCTCTGAAGATGAGCGACCCAAGCGATCCCATGTGAAAAATGGTGAGGTGGGCCGGCGGCGGAGACATTCCCCTTCCCGAAGTGCGTCTCCATCACCACGAAAGCGCCAGAAAGAGACCTCCCCTCGGATGCAGATGGAAAAACGATGGCAATCGCCAGTGACTAAAAGTGGTAGATGAAGGAGAAGCCCCTCCCCTCCACCTGCCAGAAGACGCCGCTCACCCTCACCAGCTCCTCCCCCTCGGCGGCGCTCACCTTCCCCGAGAAGATATTCTCCTCCGATACAGAGGAGATACTCTCCTTCCCCACCTCCAAAGAGAAGGACGGCTTCGCCCCCACCCCCTCCCAAGAGAAGGGCATCGCCATCCCCACCACCAAAGCGCCGGGTCTCCCCCTCTCCGCCTCCCAAACAGAGAAGCTCCCCAGCCGCCAAGAGACGCTCACCTTCTGTCTCATCAAAGCCTAGGAAAGGGTCTTCCCCAAGCCGTGCTCCCAGGGAGACCCGGTCACCACAACCAA